GTGATTTTATTAGGTATATAACCTAAATATGCTTGTGTAAACTTTATTAACGGAAAATTCCTAATTTGAGATACCCAAGTGTTCCTAATTTAAGACTATCTCAAATTAGGGCCCTATATCAAGATGCAGATGGCTGGAAACACAAGAGTAATGAGATGGATTATTTAAAAGCCTCAAAAGGATTCGGATAGATACCTTCCCACTCCAGTTCAAGTTCAGAATGCAGTGGAAGCCTTAAGTTGGATGATTCATCTTCAGGCGGAAGCAACATGATGGCGATGCTGAATGTTTATTTTCTACGGGTCGATTTTTCGAAGATAAGAAGGGTGAAAAATGGGCAAAATACAGCCATTATAGTAGATGGGCACATAAAAATTGTGAAGAGATTACCAACCAAATTTTCTTTTGCACTTTCTGCAAAAGAAAGGGATTTTTTGAATAATATCTCAAATTAGGGAACCAGCTGTAAATTCACAAAAGTATTTACTGTTTTTAAAATACACTTTTTGTCTGTAAAAAATACATTCAATATTATTTTTTTATTTTAGAGTATGCTAGGAGCATCAAATCGCAAGTTTATTTATCACGCTCGTTTAAAACGACAAGTACTTTATTTTTCCTTTTCAAAAAAAGTATCTCAAATTTGGTTCCTTTCCTCTACATTAGCTCATCAGTTGTTAGCAACTGTGCAAGAGGCGACCGCCGGTCTAGCGTTAAACGAAGTAGAAGCTAATGGTGTTTAAAACAAAAAAAGTGTCGACTATGGAAATCTTATCAAAAACTTTATGAAAGTAACGAGGATTTTCCTGATAATCTTGCTATGATTAATAAGCATTACTGTAGGTGTAAATGTGGTGTCCAAGCCTTGGTATATGGGGTTCTTGACATGCTCTCCGTGATACTGGACTGTGGTTATCATTCGTAAAAGTTGACTCAAACCACCTAATATGTCGGAGACTAAAAAGTGAACACTCAAATTGATAGTCAATAAAATACCTGAACCCTGAAGTTCACATTAGTGTAGTTTTTCTTTCCCTTCAAAATCAACATGACCTTAATTTGACCTTGTAAAGCTACTGCCAGTTCTATTCCAGAAAACATATATGAAAATCAAATTGCCTTGATACGGACCTTGCAAAGACCTTGGTCACGATCAACATGAAACCTACCAACACCTTCCTACAGGTGTTTTAACGGAATATTTTTTCTAATACACTGATCGCGTTTTTGACCCGAGTAGTACAATTGTCACATTCACCATTTTTGCAAACATCTGCCTATTTCTCAGAAACTAATCATAGGATTCCTTTGGCCCAATCGGCATTTATTGCAATAAATAAAGCAAATCGATTTTTTAGATAAATCAACTGTGGCATTCTTTCCATACGCTTTGTGTATGCTTTTTGGTCGGATAGGTGTTTGAATTCAATTTTAAATTATTATTAAACCAAATTGGCAAGCTTCATAATACTGGAACGCGGGCCATGTCTCTTATCGGGCTCAATTTGTAAGAATCATGGTCACTAACAACATGACACCTAGCACCTTCCTACAACGAAATATTACTTTTAGGATACTGATTCTATAAGTCAACGCCAAACAAAGTGGCGTGCACGTCATCACGATACAAATTCCCCGACCTAATGCCTAGGTTTCTATCACAAACAATTGCTCTATTGCAGTTTCATATTAATGTGATATATAAATTGTAAAATGGTCATTACTCTCTTATTATGGTTAATAGTCATATAAACATTGTTATTAAAATATCACATAAGTTGCTTTCTGATAAATTTAGACGCATTATGCGAAATAAAATGTTTTGCAAACGCTCCAATCACTTATCGACATGTAAACGCACTAAACCGATTTCGCAGCGTTGACACATTGTCACCTTGAAACTTATTTAAACTGGGAACTGACATTTGTATTAATTTTGACACTGAATCAATTTGTGGCATTTCAAATCTTTATAAATCCTTTGGCCCCGCATACTGTAAATCAACAACTGTTTGTTTCAAAACAAAATTATTCATTTTACGAGTAGATAAAGGCAATTTTGGTATATAAAGATGCCCAAACAGTTAAATAGTCGGTGTAAGGAACTCGTGGCCTCGTTAATGCACTACTTTGAGCAAGAAAGGGACAACAACGGGCCTTTGTTGCCTTTAAATGCTGTTCAAGAGGTAGGTTACTAATAATTATATGTAATGTATATTAATAATAGTGAAATTTTATTTCATTTTTTGTAGCGTGTTGCTGCTGCTTTAAAAATTAGTTTAAGGGCAGTTAGTCGTATTTCCGAGGGTGTGAAAAGTGATGCAAATTTAGAATCGCCCAAGAAAAAGCGGAGTTATATTAAACGTGTAACCAACACAGCGACATTGGATACAAGTGCCATTCGAGAAGTGATCTATAATATGTATCACAAAAGTAAGATCTTATTATAATAACTTATCAGAAATTTGCATTAATTTGTTAACTAAGTTATAATGTCATATTACACATGGTTTCAGAAGAACAAGTTACGATACAAACTTTATGGTCTCGATTAAGAGATAGGGCATTATTTGATGGTAGTGCCACGTCTTTAAGGCGGTTGCTTAGAGATCTTGGATTTAAGTGGCTTAAGGACAATCCGCGACGAGGGCTCATGGAACTACCAAGTATAGCTTTGAAAAGGGTGGAATTTCTAAGGCAATACAATCAAGCCAAGGTTGAGCCCTTATACCAGTTTGTCTCCTCGATGAAACTTGGATATTTCAAAATGGGACCATAGGTCGCTCTTGGCAAAATGGAAACCAAAAAAGCGTGAAAGCTATTAAAACAGATGGTAAAAGGTATGTACTTTTACACAATTTGCACTATAAAATTTAAAACTAATATATTTTAGATACATTACATTACATGCTGGAAATGAAAATGGGTTTATTGAGGGTAGTGAAGCGATATTTTCTTCGAAAACAAAATTGAGCGATTACCATGGAGAGATGAACCAGGACAATTTTTTGAAATGGTTTCAACATCAGTTATTAGAAAAATTGGAGAGTCCATCTATGATTATACTGGATAACGCCCCTTATCACAGCATGATATTGAAAGTGCCCAACAATGCATGGACAAAAAGAATATCCAAGACTGGTTGACAAATCAAAACATACCATTTTTAAACACAATGTTTAAAACAGAGCTATTGAGTATTGTTGCTCGGTACATAATGCTTCTTAATTATATATATTTTGGTCGACAGTTTATATTTCTTTTGTTTATTCCTATTCTTAAAATAACTGCTTTTTTAGAAACAAACCACCTAAAATATACGTGATTGATGAATTGGCGGAACAACATGGGCACAAAGTTCTTCGTCTGCCTCCTTACCATTGTATATTTAACCCTATTGAGTTAATTTGGGGCATAGCAAAAGGTTACTATAACAGACATATTGGTAGAGATGGTAACAGTGAAAAAGACTGTTTGGATATGTGGAACGAGGCTCTACAAACGGTTACCCCAGACATGTGGAAAAATAGTGTTCGACATACTGAGCAAGAAATTTTTAAATGGTATGAAAGAGAACGAATTTTTGATCGACCAGACATCGAACCTTTAATAATCAACTTTGAGAGTGATGAAGATTCAGATTCAGACAGCGCTGAAGAAAGAAACTCCGACTAACTTTACTGTACAGAAAAAGCTTACACCAGTAGCTTACCTAATTTTAGAATGCATTTTTCTGTATGAATTCTGTAAAATAAATACCATGCATAAAATTTGGAGGACCCCATTTGGATTTTTATTCAGTACCTTTAAGCTATCAATTAAATATGGTAGTTTCATAGTGTCATCTGATCAATAATTGTCATACTTAATGATTATGCAAGTACAGATCTATAATTTTACTATACTATTATTTTTGTTCTCATTTGAGGTTAATATTGCTTATAAACCTAGATATGTAAATAATAAATTTTATTATTTTACAAAAAGTTTGGCAACAATGTAAATTTTTCAACACACCCACCTTGATGACGTGCACGCCACTTTGTTTGGCGTTGACTATACGAATTTTTCATATGAGAACTATAATCGGCACATTCACCATTTTTTTGCAAATGCAATCATTGGACTGCTTTGGTCCGATGGACACTTTTGTTGGGCGAGGCAAGAAATATAACATATTGAATTCTTAGATAAATTACCTGGGGTACTTTTCATATGTTTTGTGCCAGGTCATTGGTGGAATAGGTCTTTGAATCCAACTTTTGATATTTTGAACCAAAATTGTCCACTTTCATGATACTGGAAGGAGGGTCATGGCTCATATCGGGCTCAAATCTGTTTTCTGAAGAGAAACTATGAAGGCGAAAGACTGCAAACTCTCAACTCAGTTCGCTCTGGAGACTTGTTCGAAGTTTCATGGTTCGGAAAAAATGTGATTTTTTGCCTTTTTGACAACGTTTCCATTTTCTCGCTAGTCCTGACATTTGAAAGCATTAGGCTCCAAATATGCGACTATTTTGAAGTGAAACTGCCTAACAAATTCCGAAAAGGCATTCAAACTGTGCCTATGCTGATTTTGATAAAAAACGACAAAGTGAAAAATATCGAGTCCGACCCTAGATTTTTTAACAGTCCATCTAGTTGTACGTTACTCCTATTGTGCTAAATTTCAACAAAATCGGTTCAATGGTGATATGGGAGATATGTCATATTAAAGATTTGGTGTGTCTAGATAAATCACCATGTAGATCCGAAAAGCTGAGCTTAGAACAAACTTTTGTATTTTCAATCATTAAAAGGGCTACTGTACTGTACCCTGTACATAATGTAATCTAAAGTTGGGTAATTTGTACCATTTAGCATATTATATGAAATAACCCATGACTTGTTTGTGTCGAATGATAATTCAAAAATCCACAGCAAAAGACTTATCTAATTATTGAAAGTCTGGAATAATAGATAAGCTTTTTGAAAAAAAATTTGCAAATGATACAATTTATCGAATCCCAAATTGTACCTTACCAGAAAGCATTAAATCTTCATTGTTAATTTAAGAATTAATTTAGGTAACCAGTGCACAGAGATCATCCATTAGGAAACTAGATGTGACAAAATTTTACTCGACAGAACTAAACAAGATCGAATATAAATTGGTAAGTTTCATTCACAGAACTCAAAACATAAGAATCACCGATTTGGGGCACTCGTAAAACAAATCGTAAGCACAACAAATAACTGACGATATTTGTTTTACTTAGGCACAGAAATCACAAATATCACGTAATGATTGTATTGATCATATCTCCTATAAGGTATTTCGGTACAATTCAACAAACCAAACATTGGTACAAATTGTTCTATTATTTATCTCTTAAAACGATAGGTCAAATTTTAATTTCCTAAAATCTTGTAATAGTTACGAAAATTGCCACCCCAACTGCCAGAGCGATTATTTTGGTCACAAAGGCTTGTTTTATTTTCATACTGCATCAATACTTTTTACAGAAACCAACAAATTTGTCGCCATGAGGCATCAAACAGGTGTTAGAAATTTGCAATTCAGTAAGTACTGAGGTGGTATAATTAAAAAAGCGGTACAATATACCCTACTTTTTTGTACTAAATGTATGTAGCTAATGAATTTCCAGCATTATAACAATACGTTTTATTAGATATTTCCTCTATCATACAAACATATAACGATATTATCATCATTGAGATCACATATTAAAATAAAATACAGTTTAACCTCTATAGGTAAGTATTATTGTGCTACAAAACATCTTTCTGTAATCGCAATATATTTGTCTAGAAACTTGTATTTTATTCCGGAGAGAATTCTCCTATGCACCTTTTTGATGCTGTTATTTGACGCGTCTTGGCTTTAATCAGGATATCAAACAACAAATGACAAGCGAGTCGCCATGAATCGCACTTCAATCTACGGTCCGACCGAAGGTACATTTTTTTGACGAAGTCGATGTTTGGCTTACTACAGAACCTTCGGCCAAAGCCGAATGCCGAGTAAATAGAAAATGAGGGTTGTGTTATAAAAATAACGAGCCTTTGCGTCACTGACTTTGTTTTTTATAAGTTGTGACCTTGCCTTGGTTCTAATCAAATTTTTATATATAGTCCAGTAGATGAAATCGATTACAGCAATTATGAATTTTTAACGAAAACTGGTGTACATCTATAGTAAACTAGGCTTTCTGTTTCAGAATGCTTGTCCTATAGAATTCTCCTTCTAACAAAATTATGTATAATGATACTCGTAGCTCAAAGATATTCCTGCGTACCTAATTGATTTCTTCAGAAAAGAATGAACTAACCGCCTGTTATGTTATGTATATGTTAACGTACATTAGCATCCTTTGTTACAAACTTTATGTTTTATTCCACTGAAACGCGATATCTTCAGAAAACTTCTCGTGAGTGGTGATTTTTCGAAACTCTCGGTCTTTCCTTTCTTTGCTGAAGACGAGATCTAGCTTCGGTCGAACACCTACTTCTATCATCTTCAGATTAACATACTCTAATAATAACGACTACAAGGATTCTGCATCATACTAACGTGATGACAGTACACTTTCTCATTAATGTTGGCCACTGGTATTCTGAATAATTTTCCTTCAGGCATACAAACGCACAGTTTGAACTGCGAAGTGGCATAGATATTCGCTCCTAATTTGGCCACCGGTATCCTTTTGAAGTCCAGGTATACTCCATCACTTCCAGATAGCACTATAGAGCCATTAATGCTCTTTAAATAGATGTCTTGATCTGCATTCCAGATTATTTCTTTCCCTTCAATCCGGCTACCTTCCGCACCTCTTACGTTAACCACCTAGAAAAACAGTCACGTCTATTATTATTTCTTGTTCCCCATGTTGTCCGCATAATTTTAAAAATAACCACGTAAGTTGTAGCGAATACTTTGTTTATTGTTGTCGTGTTTAATATTTATTGGCTTTATTTATTTTTGAAATAAATGTTTTCTTTGTTTCGAAGTTTATTTATCTATAAACAAAAATGAGTATGCCGGCAAAACCAATGGCGTACACAGGAGGGTTTAATGGATGGTAAGTTTCTACGCTACTGATTGAGGAAAAGATACGCATATTATTTAATTAATGTTGTAATGAGGTATCATAGCTCTTTTCACATGCCATGTTTCGATTATCAGGCTTTACGATGTTTCCAGAATAGTGGAGGCTAAACCTTTTCATAAGCATATTTTAGGATTTTACCCCAAATATTCAAACCTAAATATCTCCAAAAAGAGTGATCTGACAAGAATTCCTTAGGCGACGAAGTCTATAGAAAATTGAGTGGTATTTTATAAAATGCATTTTTTTCTGCGAAAAAACCAGTGCCGTGGAAGATATTTCCTTCTAGGAAACCAGGTACCCCTGTTTCTACGACCCTGATTTGGTTTGGGCCGGGAAACTATGTGTGTTTATTGGTTATGATGTGCTCACTGAACGTTTAAGATTTTAACTCAATATATTTACCCGCTCAGTAGATATTTTTTTCAATCTCGTAAATAAAGCTCCATCACCCATCAAGATATAGAAAACTATGTGGAATCACACTTCTGCCTATAGTTCACTTATTAACTGCAAAGCATCAATATAATACGTCATAATATGCCATACCGTTGGAAAAATGTTCTTGAAATTGACGAAAGGACCATGTATTCGCCCCGTATGAAAACCTATGCAACCCAGCAAAAACTATTATGATTAAAAGCAGTCAAAAATACTTTTACTCCCAACGTGCTGAAAGTGCCACTTTCGTCTGAAACTAGAATGTTTTAAGATCCTTTTACCTCCCCACTTATCTTCAGTTCATCATCGATTTGGCTTCTAATCCTGTTGGTTTGCACGTGCTTGGTCTTGAAATTTCCCACATTCTTCAGCGATTCATAAGTAGGTTCAGTCACCGTGAACAGTGTTTTGTTCTCGTTGTCGATGACTTGGAAATAATTAACATATCTGAAATGCCAGAAAGAAAAAGGCTGAAGAACAAGTATTCATTATATTTAACGCATGTTGGAGCTTGTTAGTCTGACTCAAAGCCAATACCACGAAAGTGTTTCCTTGGAAGTTTCGTATTTCATTTTGTTGTACTTTTACTCTGTCCTCACCTTATCTTGGAAAATTAAAACAATATCTGTGACATTCTTCGACGGACATATTACGAAAAGAAGAAGTTTCTGTCTGCTGTAACTAAACATGAATTTTCCACAAAAGGATCTGGGCTCTAAGCGGGGAAAATAACTCAAATTTCATATAGCTTCCATCTAGCAAATGTTTGCGCTTAAACTTCCAGAAACATTTTTTCATTATTCTGGCACTTCATCGTCATTTGAATTGTTTGCCGTGTTTTTCAATCTTATAATAAAATACACTGAGACATCGCGCATATACAAAAATGAAAGTGTCACAATAAAAGCAACAGTTGAAGTCTCATTTCAATTTTGTGTTATTCTGTTTCAACGTTAGTCTCTTATAAGAGCCGCTCATTTCGGTTGGTCGGAGCCACCAAGGACTTGATCTGACACGAGCACATCTCGTCAATAGCGGCAACTGCTGGGAAAAGGTAGGCTATTTGTTTTCCTCACTCTGTCAAGTGAGAAAATAACAAAAATGTTGATGGGAGTTAAAAATACATATGTTCTGGAGTATTTTAATACAAAAATTTCATAGATACGATCGCCTTAAGACATGAGTTATTTCTAGAGAAAAAATATCTCCGTCCAATCCTTTCTCAAAATTATCCTGTATGAAAATTGTGGAGGTAATCGCTGCCCGTGTACCTTCTCAACTGTTGAATATGTTGACTTTAAATGTTACCTTAAATAAAAAGCAAAAGGTGTTTTCAAATAACTTACCGGAATACAGTTTCGTTCAAGTCGACTTTAGCCTTATTAACACCTCTGCCGTTTTTGCTCAGATTAAGGAGAATAGGGCTATTTCTGGACAATATTTCGACAGGCTTATCCTGGAATCCTTCGATCCTGCCGTCGCGTTTGTAAATGTGGTCCAAATCTACATCTCCCGAAAACTTGATGGCTTCGTGATTCGGAACGAGGTGTATATTTTGCGTTCCTAACATGATATAAAGGGCATCAAGATTGTAAAGTAAACCGATAATTCGGAATTCACTACTTGACCTGATTTTCAACCTACTTGGCTTGACTTGAAATCAAGTTAACTATTATACAGGGTGTTCTTTAATAATATGCGAATATTTAAGGGTGTAAATCTACATGAAAAATTAATGTTAGTTTGCTTTATAAACTATTGTCCAAAAATGTTTCCTTATAACTCGGGGTGTTGAAGTTTTAGGAGAAAATTGGAAATTAATTAATATTTTCAGAACTGCCTCAGATATTTCACTGATATTTAGTACGTAGTGAAAGTTAATAAAGCTGCATATTTTTCAATGCAATAATAATTTTTAGCTCTAACGGTGGCGTGCGTATGGGTATTGACTTCGATATTTTTTAAGAAAAAAATGGTACGCCAATGGTTTTTTGCCAAATAAAAATTATTTTTGAGTTCCCCGTTCAATTTAAAACAAATGATCTCTCTTAAATTGTTTTCCTTCGATGCGCCATTTTTGAGTAAAAAAAATAAAAACCGTTCTGTTGTCTAACTTGCAAAACTATTATTAATTTAATGGAAAAATTAAACACATTAGGGGTAACGAACAACAACAACAACAGACAACATAAACATAACATTAAAACCACCGAAATGATTATAAAAATTGTTGAAAATGGCCCCCTTCACTTAGTATGCATGCTTCCGCCCTCCATCTCATGGAATTGCGCACTCGTTGAAATATCACTGGAGTGTTTTTTATTCTATCGCACGCTGCAACTATTCTTTCTCTTAATTCCTCTACAGTGTTAATGGGACTTGTGTACACTAGTGTCTTGAGATAGCCCCACAAAAATAAATCTAATCTGTTGAGGTCTGGGGACCTTGGTGGCCATTCTTGGGGCCCACCGCGGCCAACCCAACGATTTGGATAAACAGTTTGTAAATAATTACGAACCGCTACACTGAAATGCGCTTGTGCACCATCTTGCATGTACCACATATTGTTTCTTACTACCAACCGAACATCATCAAGCAGCAAAGGCAACTGTTGTTGAAGAAAATTGAGGTAATTCTGTCCGGCAAGAAGAATGGGCCAAAAAAGTGGTTGCCAAAAAGTCCTGCCCATACGTTAACCGAAAATTAGTGTTGCAAATGGGGTTCGGTTACGGCATAGGGATTTTCTTCTGCTCACAAATGATTATTGTGGAAATTCTGAATGGCATTTCGAGAAAAATTAGCTTCGTCCGTGAACAGAATCATTGATTCAAATTGAGGATTTTGAAGATATGACTGATAAACGGTCACACGCCTTGTAAAATCAATGGGAAGTAATGCCTGTACTCTTAAAATATGGTAAGGATATAACAAAAATCCACTAAAATTCTCCAAACAATTTGATGGCAAATATTTAAGTATCTAGCGGGCTTCCCCGTAATCTTTTCAGGATGTTCTTCGACTTCGTGCAGCACTGCTTCCTCAATTTCAGGTGTTCTCACACTTAGAGGTCTACCTATAGATGTTCCCTTTCGGACAGAACCAGTTTCAACAAGACGACGATGAATATTAGAAAAGGTTCGACTATCTGGCAAAGCACGATCGGGATATCTCTGGTGATAAATCTGTCTGGCTTGCTCACCATTACCGTCGGCAAGGCCATATACGTAATGCATTTCCGCCATTTCTACATTTGAATAGTTCACCATTATTAACACGATTGTAAAAACTAAATAATGAAAAAATGTCACAGCGAACAGATTTGAATAACAGAGACTTGTCAGATGTCAAAAGCCAGTGACATTTCAGAGCAACTAGATATTTGTTGCTAAATTGCATTTTTCAATTATTACATTAATTTTCTCGGACAATAGAACGGTTTTTATTTTTTACTCAAAAATGGCGCATCGAAGGAAAATAATTCAAGATAGATCATCTGTTATAAATTGAACGGGGAATTCAAAAATAATGTTTATTTGGCAAAAACCATTTGCGTGCCATTTTTTCCTGAAAAATATCGAAGTCAATACCCGTACGCACGCCACTGGTACAGCTAAAAATTATTTTTGCATTGAAAAATATGCAGCTTTATTAACTTTCACTACGTACTAAATATCAGTGAAATATCTGAAGCGGTTCTAAAAATATTAATTAATTTCCATTTTTTTCCTAAATCAACACCCCAAGTTTTTGTAAGGAAACATTTTTAGACCATAGTTTAGAAAGCAAACTAACATTAATTTTTCATGTAGATTCACACCCTTAAATATTCGCATATCATTAAGGAACACCCTGTATAGAAGCAAAATAGCTCAGGTTAAGTAGTTTTTACGTCAAGTACTTGAATATTCAAGTAGTCTTGCAAGTACTTGATAATTTCCGTAATATAAATACGAGTAGATTATAGGTACAAAACGGAAAGATTGTGACAAGTTACAGAGACAACAATACGGCTTTTCACTAAACGGACACGAGTTTGTTGTATTTGTATTTTCTAGAACCTGGAAAACAAAAACAGAACCCAAAACTCTCGTTTTGTGGAGTTTTGTTTTTGTTTTCGGTCCTTTTCCTCTGGCTGTCACGAGGAAGTCAAAGCACAGTTTTTCTTTAATAACCATCATGTTGAGAGGAGGCACAAACCCAGTATACGAAACAAATGACTATGTGATAAGTTCAAGGAAATTAACATGTTAAATATTTTTTGAATCAGAATTAAAAAACTCGATTTATCTATGCAAAAATTCAATAAAGCGTATATAAGAACAAATAAAGCTGAGCGACAAGAGACCAAACGTCATACGGAAATTCTAATTATACCATCTTGTGGAAGATAAAAAGTGAGACTGATTATGTGCAATTTCTTAAAAAATTCAACAACAGATAAAGTTAGGAAAAAATGAAAACGATTCTAGGAAAGTGCGGTTTTTTCCGTCTCTCTCCGAAAGTATTTTGGATTTCAAAACTTTCTAAGCGGCATCTTGTCAAAACGTTGATATTTGTAACATTGGCGCGAGTTACAGACACCAGATACGCATAATTGTAGAATTGCATTTCACATAGCTTGCACTTTTTACAGAGTTTATAAATATACCGTAATTTGCATTATATTCAGTTCTAGCTATTTCTCGGTCCGTTTCACATCAATTTTGTACGTTTTGAAAATAAAAGTTTTTTAAAAACTTATTTCGGAGTCGTACTTCAGTAAGTCGCGTGATGAAGTGAATACAAGCCAGTTTTTCAAAAAAAAATATTAATGCTGAAAATCTTGAAAACTCTAAGACTTTTACTAAAACAAAATTTTACGATCTAGTAGACCATGGCGTGACATACCTACAGTTGCAGAATTATCCTTCGCCCTGTAAATAAAAGAAGATCCCCGATTTCTTTGTCACTGATTATATAAAAATATAAGAATTACCAAAGTTTCAATGCCATGTCTACTGTATTCTGTTAGTTTGCAACAAATAAATTAAATTCCTTGTTTATATATTGTACCTACCATGGCCCAATCTCAAAACCCCAACGATAGTCAAAGTTAACATCAGGTTTCCAATAACTAGGATAAAAAGTAGCGTCAACAGGGTCCAAAACGCAAACGTCTTTCTTCCTCTATACTTCGGTTTTGTAGTATCCACGGGCACATAACCACTGATGAAATTATTTTCATTGTTATTGCGGTAGTTTATCACAGGCTTTGTAAGTACGGCCTTATCACGGTAAGGGGAGACGTCTGGATCTTCGGACAGCATATGAGAAGTCTGTGACGGCGAGCTTGCACGATAATCGTCCATTTTATAATTTGGCTATTTTCGTAAGCACGTAAGCGATGGGAACACCTGGAAAGTGAAGGCGGTCGATCCGCTCTCGAGACGCGGGCGCAGCCTGGCGCCTCGACGCACCGTGTTGCCAGATGTCTCCTCAATGTCGGCCATCTGCAATTATGCTGATTATGTTGCGTCCTCGTCGAAGTAATTAGAATAGATCATGTAGTACCATCGTATCTCATTAAACCCACGAGTTCAAAGCACGTGCACTTCGATGAGTACTTCACATAATTAAGATCGAACATCACTTACAGGTAAGTTCGTTTGATCATGCAATTTTACGGGAGTATCACGCATACTTAGTTGCGCTGTTACTTGCTATACGCCATATTAGCTACAAAAAGGTGCATCGTTTCTTGATTTTTACAAGGGTCAAGCTAGAAAGCTAAGATTCAGGGGCAACAAAGTTGATGCATGATTTCTTTACTTAAGTGTAAAATCGACAGATGAGAAGTCATAAAATATGGAGCATTTCATTTAAAAAAAATAGTCAAAAACTTTTTTCAGCCAAATGTCACATTTTATTGCACATTCAGTGAACAAAAACGCTCAATTCTGACAGTCTGTAAGTCAGCCATGTTGAAATACAGTGATGTTATATACTATGACTACTAGATACTCATAAGAAGCTTCAAAATATGACATGACCCCTCATACCATTTGAAAATATGTTACAGGAAGGCGCTCAGCTGTTATCTTGATATTTTGATCTGTTACTTTAACGTAGGTATATATTACGTAAAAAAGCTACATAATGTCCAAAAATACCAACTCGCTGATTAGATAGCTTCTAGTGTAGAATAGTTCATTCCGACAGTGATCGCTATGAGCGCTGTGCACATCACCAAAAGCGTCATCTGTGGAGGAATGACTCGACGATACGCTCAATGGCCAGCTGCGAGCTGGTTGCAGAATACTGAGATGGTCTGTAGAGTTTATCTCTGAGAAGGAAAAGGAAATGTAGTAGCAGAGTAGCAAGATCGCATCTGGATGATTGAGTGTATTGACCTGTATGTATATAAAATCAGTGACATTTGCTATGCGGGAAAACTACCTATTACTGAATATGCTGCCCATGAAGGTTATCTATCAGTCGGCTTACTTGTATGTTCAAAGTTATAAATTACGTTTCCCTGTTGTTTTGCGTTTTCAACAACCTTGAGAAGCATCACCACTGCGCCCGCGTTGTTTGTAATTTAAGCCATATCATGGAAAATTCGGAAGGACTCATCAAACACAAAACATTTTCGCAGGCGCTGATTTGTATTTTCTACTTGACATATACATTTCTATAAAATTTGAATGACTGGGATAAATAATGTTAAATCTAATAACTTCTCCAAGTTTCATAAATATTCCTGTCTGTGGCATATTTTCTCACATGTTAGTTGTAATATACTTCATCAAACAGAGATTTTGTTTTCTTCTTATATGTAATTTCTAGAACGAATACAAAAAACTAGTCCTAATTTCTGTTTTTACGGCATCACGTCAGCGCATTTGCTACTCTCTCCAGTATGCATGAAGTGGGTAACAAGGGACCGTTGCTTTTACTCTGTTCCTGGAAACACCTTAATGAACTTAACACGAGCTGACCGCCTTCCCCGTTGATCGTATTTCCGGGAATTGTACAATTTTATATTTAAGATTGATAACAGGACAACTCGGACTGTACGCCGATGTCAAGTTGTCATTGTGACAAATATGATTGATTACAGTCATACGCAACGACAAAGTTTTCGATAAGGAATCACACAACTAAAAAACGTATGCCTTTGAGCTTACCGAACAAACGTTCACACACAGGAGTAGGTTGCATGTGTATGTATGAGGGAGATGGAGATATATAAAGGCATACTGGTAGTCTTACTTTTACCCGTCAAGAACAGAGACGACAACTACATAAATCATAATAGAGTGTCATAAACACTATATAACGTCAAAAAAACTATAATGTCACCTTTCAAGATACGTAATACCCCTACCGTTCAAGAAAAGTAATTTTAATGTTATTAACTCTATAGCTGATAGTAGAGTACAGGTGTACAATTAGACGCAAAAACACGAAAACATCCTAACCCATGCCCTCTGTATCGTTTATTGATATTTTTAGTACAATGTGATTGAAATGTTGTACAATAAAAAGTAGTAAAACGTAAGAATTTTGCGTGACTTTTGATTTTCAGTTCTTCTAAACATTCCTTTTTACTTTTTTCATGAATACAATTATTCAATGTTATTATATACCAGCTAGCAGATCGCATTTAACTGAATCTTCTTGTCCATGTAATTTTGCTCTGATCTGTGTAAGCACATCACGAGCATTAACACCAATAAATTATCATCATTATTATTGAAAACATCAATATTGGAGGAAATGAACGTGAACACCCTGTATCACTTTTAACATAGGTACAGTGCTTTTAAGCACATTTCACTAAAAATCTTATTTTGCTGGACCCAAGGTTAAACGTACTACGGTGCTCATAACGATTTTGATAGCTTTATTTGAAAAATAGTTTTTTAAAGTAACTTTCCAGCCTTCAGCAAATTATGATATATTTTCCTGAGATAAACATTATCGGCAATATGCTATTACTTATTTAATGACTCAGACAAACCGTATTTATTGTGATGTTCGAAGGTAAAAGTTTGCAGTTAATAGTGCAATTTGCAAACATCAACAAAGTGCAAGGATATATTTGTAAGTTTTTCAACTAAAGCAAAATCCCCGTTTCGTACTTGATGCTACAAGGAATATGAGTTTGTATTTATGTGCGGAAAGTAGTTTTTCAGTGTTTTCGAAATTTTTAACGACCACAAAATCTAAAGGCATTTACAGCTCAAGGCTGGTTGGAACTTTTGATTGAGGCTGAAATATATTGTCCTATAGCGATTTGTTCATGAAATAGCTTTAGTGTTGGTTCAGCTTGTACTTCCAGGACGACATACCTGTATATACGTATACTTACATATATACGGTGCTTTCTAAAAAGATCTTTTATTCCTTGAACATCGATATCAGCAAAGCTTCTGGTCCGGACTTGATTCCTGCCGTTGCATTACAGAGGCGTGCAATGGAGCTTGCTCCAGGTCTTTGTCGTATCCAGATGCCTTACGAATTCGGCACCTCCACAAAAAACAGGAAATTTGCTTATGTACAACCCATCCTAAAAAAGGATCTAAGACTGTCCCTTACAACTACAGACCTACAGCTCTGCTTTCTGTTATGAGGAAGGTGAAGAGGTGCGTACATTTCACGAAGCTCTGTTCGAGCGACATTTTATAGAAGCACTTATCCCAATATAATTATTTTCAAGAGTTTAGTATCGGATTTGCCTGGATTGAAAATAAAACATGCTCAAAACACTTTTCGGGAACCTTTTTAGAGTATATCAAAAGCTCCTCGCCCACTTTGTCACAACTTGAGGCTATGGTGTTTGTGGAAACCCGTAAGGCTAACTGTCTCGACAATATATTTACGAATTGTCCAGAAATTAAAAAAATCTGTAACCGTTTTTGACACCTATTTTTCAGATCACTTAGCAATTGACTTCTTCATAGAATATAAGCGGTATCCATCAACATCTAAAAGCTTTAGTTATCGTCCAATTACCGATATTGGTCTTTTCAATCTATATTATAGTATTGAGCACATAAATTGGGACTTTGTCGAGAATCGTGATATGTCTATTGAATGTATAGTCAAAAAATTCGTCAAAACCCTGGTCGATGAAATTGAAATATTCCAGTGAAATCAAAAACTCTCAAAAACAGTCTTACTTTTAATTCATCTTGGTTCAACTTAAATCTTCAGCACCTGAGAGAGCAATACCAATTTCTGTCAGAACTATACAAATCTGATCCTCAAATTGTTAATAAAGAGTATCTCAACTTATACAAGTGTGAATATAGACGTACGATAAATCAAGCCAAAAAACAAGCTGATGATCGTTATATTAAAAATGCTAAAAATAGACAACAAGCAGTATGGAATGTTATCAAAAACAACAAACCAATGAAAAGCCAGCACACAAGCAGGACGCTTAGAGCATCTGACTTTAATCTTTATTTTACTAACATTGCAAATAATCTTACTGACCAAATTCCATCTTCAGCTTCAACTCATACGAGCTATTTGCATGAGGTAACTCATACAGAAAGTTATATTTTTAAGGAGTTTACTTACAATCAAGTCAGGGCAGTGATAGATAAATTAAATAAATCTAAAAGTTTTGATGTTTTCGGTTTCAATGCGCAAATTAGGACAACTATTCAAAATCTTATTATTATACCATTAACAAAATTATTCAATTGGTGTATTTCAAATGGTATATTTCCTGGTAAAAAGGCGATACCAATGATCTTTCAAATTATAGACCTATTTAACTTATACCTCTACTTGCTAAAATACTTGAGATTCTTTTGAAAGATCAGCTGATTGACTATTTTGAAAGCAACAGAACATTTACTGACTGTCAGTTCGGTTTCAGATCAGGTAAGTCTACCTCTCTAGCTATTGACAGCTTCATTGTGAACATAAATGCAGCTAATTATGTAGTCGGAACTTCAAACTTCGTTTTTAAAAAACCTCCACCCTTAAGATGAAGTTTTGGAGGGCACAAACAAAACTTCGTGCCTCTGGGGTTGCATTTCGATTGCTTCTAACTGCTGGCTTCTTCTTGATCCTTTTCTTCTCTGGTGATACTTTTTCACGAAAATGCACGCAATTCCAATTAACATAATTGCATACAGGGGTAGACTCCATTTGTAGGGGTGCTTCACTGTTTCGGGAAGATCTACCTGGATTTGGTCGGCTCGTTCTTGCAAGTGATGAAGTTTATCTAAGGAAATATGTACTAACTTGATTTCCTTTGGATTTTCTGTTTTTGATGAAATGTGGACCTCTGGAAGCAACAGCGGCTTTTCCATGGTTGTTCTTTTTGATTTTTGTAAATGTAGTCCTTCGTTTGTATGCTGCACTGGTAAGGCACTTCAAGTAGGTAAATGCCTTTTAACTCTATGACGTCATCTTGTTCACACTTGATTATCTTCAAAATAAAATGCATAAGTACTTTTTGGTACACCGTAGTCTTTGAGAAAGTGTATAATAGGAGTTAAATCACCATTAACAATATACAATGTGTACAAGAATTTCTTCGGATCCCATAAGGTTGAAGTGTGAGTTTTCTGGGCATAATGGCTTTTCTAACAAAAATTTGGTACTTGAAAACATTGATAGGTTTTTCTACAGGGTTAATTTCTTGAATGGGGCTTTCATCGTCTGAGTGAATAGTTACGTTTTCAACTCGTTCACTCAAGTCTAGCAAATTGCGTACTGTTTGTTCATCACCTACATTATTTTCTATAGACGTTTGGTCATCTGCAGGTTTTTCGGAAAAGTCTTTATTGAAGGTTTTCATGTATCGGATAAATGGGGACTCTTCTTCATCTTGGATTTGTGATGTAGAAGGTTGTGGGTCAATTTCGGTAGCGTGAATTTGAATACGAGAAAGTGCATCAGCATTTTTATTTTCTTTACCTTTTTTGTATATAACTTCATACTCAAATTCGGATAATTTTAAGCGCCATCTTTGTAATCTAGAATTTGGTTCTTTTAAAGTCATTAACCACTGAAGCGGTTTGCAATCTGTTACAATTTTAAATTTTCGTCCAAAAAGATAATATCTAAAATACTTAGTTCCATAAACTATTGCTAAACATTCTTTTTCTGTCGCACTGTAATTTTGTTCAGAATCATTTAATGTTCTAGATGCATAAGCTATTGGTTTGTCAGAGCCAATAGGGCCTTGAGAAAGTATAGCTGATACAGCAAAATTACTTGCGTCGGTAGTCAATACGAAGTTCTTTTCAAAATCCGGATATTGTAATAATGGTTCATTCGTTAAGAGATTCTTACAATGTTCAAAAGCTTTGAGAAATTTTTCGTCATGTTTAATTTCTGCTCCTTTTTTCAAACATAGGGTGAAAGGGCGAGTGATTCTTGCGAAGTCCTTAATGAACTTACGATAATAACCAATCAAACCTAAAAACTGTTTAATTTCGCGGGTGGTTCTGGGCAATGGATATTTGAGAATGGCTTGAATTTTGTCGGGGTTTGGTTTTACTCCTTGCGATGTGACAATATGACCAAGAAAGGCTGCTTCCTTTTTCAAAAATTCGGATTTGTCTAATTGAACTTTGAGGTTTGTCTCCCTTAATCTTTGGAAAACCTTTTTCAATGATACAATGTGTTCTTGTAAAGAAGTAGAATAAATTATGATGTCATCCATATACACCATAGTGTTATCTAGTCCTCGCAAGACATTATCCATAACTCGCTGAAATGTGCTTGGTGCTCCTTTAAGACCAAAACTCATACGAAGGTATTCGTAATGACCTCCATCAACACTAAACGCTGTTTTTTGAATATCATCCGGGGCTATTTCAATTTGGTGGAAACCGCTAGCTAAATCCAAAGTTGTGAAATAATTACAACGACCTAATTTGTCTAAAATGTCAGAAATACATGGAATGGGGTAGCGATCATCTATGGTCTTTTCGTTAACCTTTCGATAGTCAACCACCATACGCCATTTCTTTTTACCACTAGCATCAGGTTTTTTGGGAATGAGAAAAACTGGAGAATTCCAAGCTGAGCTACTATGTCGAATAATATTCTGATCTAGAAGGGATCTAATTTGGCTTTGCATTTCGTTTTTGAGCATGTGTGGATAACGATACGATTTTGTATGAACAGGAATTTCATCTGTGGTCCTAATATGATGCTTAATTTGGTTTGTGAAAGTTAACGCATCACCCTCGTAATAGAATACGTCGGAGTAGGTTTGACACAATTTTTGAATATGAGTTTTTTCTTCATTATTGAGATGAGATGTTCGTATCAGGTTACTGATATCACGTCGCAACGGCGAAGCTGATTCAGATGGTTTAATGATAGCGTGGAATAAAGCGTAATTGTTTGCGTCGAATGGAAATGAAACAATAGGCTCATACAAGGAAATTTCTTGATAAGTGTTACTTGAATTTTCTAGGTCAACTAGGGCATAACCGTTTATAGCATGAGTAAGCGTTTCCTTGATTACACAATCTCTAATTTTGGAATTTGGAATCAAAATTTCTCCATTATAAGTATCGACAGGAATTTTGGCTTGGGCCGCCGTGTAGGGCTCAATTTCTATGAAAAATAACAAACGATTTTTCAAATCATGAAATTTGATTGGAATTTTGGCGTTTTTGGTATGCAAAATAGAATTTCTAAGGTCAATATGCGAATTTAGAAGTTTCAAAATATCTAAACCAATCAGACCATCAAAATACTTGTGAAATTTGAACAAATGAAATTTTATAGGCTCACTAACATTGAGTTCTGAGAAGGCAGGAATTTTAGCACAATAGTCTCTCTTCGAATGCTGAAAAACTGAAGTTACTTCGAATGGTTCTTTATAAATACATTTTGGAAAATGCAATTGTGCAAGATCAGGATTTAAAAATGATTTCGTTGCACCAGTATCAATAAGAAGCTTTAAAGGCGGATTTTTAATTTCAATATAAGGTAACTCTGTTTTGTCATAAATCGTGTTTAAGTATATTATGTCTCCTCTATCATGGGCACGGCCATCTGAAAATTTTGTTTTTCTTCATCAGGCTTTTGACCAGTTTCAGAAACATCATTTTGTGTCTCATCAGGGTTTTCGTAGTATAGATCAGAACAGTCATACTGATTTTCACCATCCTGACAATATTCCGAGTAATAGTCATTGTAAGGGTTGTTTCCAAAATGTTGATCATAAGGATCATTCTCAACGTTATGTAATTCTTGAGAAGCAAAGTTCCTTGGGCCAGAAGGCCTAAAATAATTATTTTGGAAATTTTTATTTCTATTGATGCTACTAACACCACTCATAGGAGTAGGCCTATAGGAAGGTCCTTGATTAGGCGGATTACGCCAAACATTAACATTAGGTCTATTGCCAAAAACTTGTGCGTTTGTTGGAAATTTTTGTGGAAGACGATTTTGTCTAGGTTGAATCGGAACTGGTCCTCTTGGTAATTGAGGCTGATAATTGAAATTTTGCTGAGGCCTAAATTGATTCATAGGCTGCATTTGAGGCTTAAACAAATTTTGAAAATGTGGTTTGGATGAAAGGGCAGGCTGAGGTGGCTTATTGAAATTTGAATGTGCACCAGCCTTTTGTAAATATCTAATGTTATTATCTTCTAAAATATAAGTTTGAGCTTCTGCCAAATTTTTAGGTTTCATCGACCGAATCATGGAACTTTGTGGCTCCTTTAAACCTACTAAAAGTGTATGCAATGCATGACTATCATACAGTGCCTTTTTACTAGTTTTAATAGCATCAACTGTTTCATGAATATTTATATAGTTATGTAAATGATTCAGCATGGTTACAACTCTAGAATAAAACTGTAAAGAGCTTTCATTAGAATTTTGTCTAAGGACAGTCATATCTGAAATAAGACTACTCTCGTTTCTTTGATCACCAAAATGAGCAATTAGCAAATTTTTTATGCTGTGCCAGTCTGTGGAACCGCTAAGAGAAAATACTTGCTCTGCAGCACCAGTCAATTTCGAGAAAATGCCATGCAGCAGTATTTTGTTTTGGACACATACTGTATCGTCAGTGTTCCAATAGTTATTTAATAAATCTGTGCTTATTTCTAAATATCTATATAGCCTACAGGGATTCCCATCAAATTCTGGGACAATTTGGAGTAATTTTATGTCGAACTGGGGGGTACTATTTCTACTGGGGGTCTTCATTATTATCCTTTCTATAGTTTCGTTTGCTTGTCTTATTTCTCTACTTCCTAATTCTAAGCTTGCTATGCGATTAGCGATTTGATCTGCACTATCACCTTCGAAAGGATTTACAGGTCGGGGTGAGTCACTCATGAAAAAATAAGGATACAATGAGCACTTACTGATAGGTCCAGTACTTCATCCCGTTCTTGGCCTAGGTTCCTCAGGTGGACGTCGACTTCAACAGGACAAAGGGCACTTGTGGTCCAAATTCTTTCTTCTTTCTTCAGTCGTACCGGCTCGTCACGGAGGTTCGTGATTCCCAATTAAGAGTTCAGACTCAAGGGCTAATCGGTGAAAATCCCTTTGGGAATCCTACTGCGGGCTGCGCCAATTATGTAGTCGGAACTTCAAACTTCGTTTTTAAAAAACTTTATTTGATTCCAACAATAGTTTACATAGACCGAACCGGAATTACAGTGTGTGTGTTCGCTGTGACTGAGATTGAATGACTGACTCATAATTAAGATACAATCGTTAATATAAACCAAAAGTGATGAGCTAGTAAAAAGGAATACAATGCAATTATTATATTAATTAATAAAGTTCTAAATGACGGCAACATAACTAGCTTTCTAAAGTGGTGCTCATTGCTTAGCTGATCTTACTAAGGCCTTCGATTTTGTCCGACATGACATTCTTCTACAAAAAATGTCACATTACAAGTCCCTTAATAATAACATTAGGCTCTTGTCATCTTATTTGAGCAACAGACAGCAGCATGTAACCTTCAACAACACTACCTCCAGTACAATGAGTTTCATGTGGCGTCCCACAGGGTTCTGTGCTGGGTCCAATTTATTTTTAATATACATTAATGACCTTCCCAATTGTAATACAAACTTCAATCTTATACTGTTTGCCGATGATACAACAATGCTCTGTAGTAGTAAATCAATTGATCTACTTCTCTCTGCGAATATTGAATATACAGTAAATTTAGAAAATTGGTTTTTAGCAAATAAACTAACACTTAATGCTTCAAAGACACAGTCCATGGTAATAAGTTTGTGTTACCATATCGTCAATACCATAGACAAATTTTTGGGTGTCAGTGTTGATACACACATGACTTGGAAGCGACATGTAAACTGTATTCTCAGGGAACTATGCAAGACCATTTATTTAATTAGGAATCTGAAAATCTGTGTTTCTGGTGATAGGTTGCTAACCACATATTATGGATTCTTCCACTCAAGAATGTCATATGCACTTTTGAACTGGAGTCACTCTGAGCATATGCCTAAGTTATTTGCACTCCAAAGGCGCTGCATCAGAGTCAGCGTAGATCTGAGTTATATGCAGCTATGTTGGGAGACATTCATCAACCTAGGGATCCTTACTCTTCCATCTATATATACTAAGTGAGATATAAATCCGAACACCCAGTTTAAATGGTTTTATTTTAATAAAAGTTAGTGAATGTATTTACCTTACTGTAAGTAAGAAGTGAAAAAATGTTCAGCCTTATCAGTTGGCATTCCGGTTTTTATACTGCTTTTTTTTTAATTCACTAACGCTCTAAAAATGAATATTTCAGCCCTCAGACTAAAAATATAAATAGACAAATAATTCCCT